CATTTGGGATGCCCACCTCTATCCTCCACGTCCTCCGGACTCATCTCCAGCTCCCCAGACCCCATAGGGACCCCCCTAAAACACATCCCAACCCTGACCCCCCCCAAACCACCGCGGCCTAACCCGCCCCCGCCAGGCCCAGGCCGGGCACCCCCCCGCGGCGTTGGGACACAGCCCGAGCCGGTCCCGAGAGGTTCTCCGAGCGGAGGGAGGGAATCCGGGTGCTCGGGGGGGCGGCGGGGGTCGCTCACCCTCCAGGAGGCGGCTGATGATGGAGTCGAGGTTGAGCTTCTCGGTGTCCGCCATGGCCGCCCGCGCGCCGCCCCGCCCCGCGCGTCGGCCCAGAGCGGCCCCGGCGCGGGTGGCGCCCCCTGCTGGTGTGGAGGACTCACCGCAACGCCTCGCGGGCGGAGCTGTCCCCGTGTCCCGCTGTCCCTGTGTCCCGCTGTCCCCCTGGTCACGGTATCCTGGCCCCGGAGATTCGGGAAATGGGGACAGAATGGGGGAGGTGCCGGCAGCAGGGAGCCACGGAGGTGTCACAGAGGCAGGGGGAGAGCCGTGGAGATGGGGCATGCCCCCAGTGGGGGACATTCCTGGCAGAGGGACATCCCAGGCAGAGGGACATGCCTGGAAAGAGAAACGTCCCGGGAAGGGGATACTGCGGGAAAGGCGATAATCCCCTGCAGGGGGACTTCCCTGGAAATAAGAAGGTCCCGGGAAAAGGGACTCTCGGGAAAGCGGACATTCCGGGCAAGAGAACAACCCTAGCAGGGGGACACGCCGGGCAAGGGGTAGAACTCGGGCAAGGGGACACAGGGGACAGCAGGGACATGGACTCGTATCCTGGCCCTGGGGACACAGTGATAGAGAGGAAGAGGGAGAAGAAATAGCCTCGATATAGATAGGGGTTTCCGGGAATGAGAGGGGACAGGAGGGGACACGGAGTGAACCGGGGATCCGTATCCTGGTCCTGGGGGCACAGGGACAGCCTGGGGACTCGGGAGGACACGAGGGGACAGGATGCTTGGCAAAGCCCAGGGATATCCGGGGACTCTGGGGACACCGTCGGGAGCAGCACCGAGTGGTTGCCGGGACACTGTTGCCATCCTGGGGTCCCCGGGGACACCTCGAAGGCCGGGCTCCCACTGGGGACACGAGGGAGGGTGATACATCTGTGCCACCGCTCAGGGCTGGCAGTGTCAGGGGTGCGGATATGGCTGTCCCTTGTCCACACTGGCTGTGCCATGCCTTCCCATGCCATGCCATTCCCTATGTGCCATTCCATGTGTGTCACGCCATGCCACGCCATGCCGTTCCCTGTGTCCCATTCCATGTCGTGCGGGGAGGTCGGGAATAGCTCCCGGGGCCTGCCCTGACATTTCTGCTCCGCGGTGTCAGTTTTACACCCGGCCCCGGGTGACCCCGGGCTGGCCCCGTCCCTGCCCCCGGTCACTTGTCCCCTACCCCAGTCCCTGTCCCTGTCCCCGTCTCTTGTCCCGCTCCGTACCTAGTCCTCGTCTCCCAGAGGTGGCATCCCAGCCCGCCACCCTCGCCCTCGTTGTCCCCTTCGTCCTGCCACCCCCTTCGGTGTTCCGGTCCCCCCGGTGCTCCCGGTGCCGCCCCGCCCCGCCCCGTCCGAGCAGGGAACGGCGGCGCCGCCACTGCCAGGACCAGAGCGGGCAGAGCCACTGAAGGGGCCGCGGCAGCACCAGGACCGACACGGCCAAAGCGCGACAGACCCCGACACTACCGGGATCGGAGCGGGCAGAGCCGCTGCCGGGTGCGACAACACCAGGACAGACCGACACCGACAGGCACCGACACCGACACCGGCACCGCCGGTAGGTGCTGGCAGCAGTGGGGGGGTGTGGGTGGTTTTGGGGGGTGCTGGTGCCGGGGAAGCGGGAGCAGTGGGATGGGGGTCGGGGGGTGTGTGCACACTTGTGACAGGGTGCAAGTGACAGGTGGATGATGACATTCACGACACGGTGAGGGTGACAGGGTGCAGGTGACAGTGCAGTAGCATGGTGCAGGTTATGTGGTCTGGGTGGCAGTGCGGGTGACAAGGTACAGGTGACAGGGTACAGGTGACAGGTAGGTGATGTGCATGACAAGTTGTGGGTGACAGTGCAGGTGACAGGGTGCTGATGCTGGTGTAGTGTCACAGTGTGGGTGACGGCGTGGGTGACAGGTACAGGTGACAAGACGCTGGTGATGGTGCAGCTGACGGTGTGTGCACAAGTTGCGGGTGACAAGGTGCACGTGACAGTTCAGGTGACAATGAGGGTGGCAGGGTGCAGGGAGTGGTGCAGATGACAGGGAGCGGGTGACAGCGCGTGCAGGACCCTGCGGCGCGGCAGCCGCGCTGGTGGCCCCGTGCCTGCCGGTGGCGGTGACGGTGACAGTGACAGTGACGCCGCGGGCAGCTGGAACTAAGCCGGGGGACGTGCGGGCTGGCAGCTCCGCCACGCTGGGGACAGGGGGACAGGCCGAGGGGGAGGACGAGGGGCGTGTCCAGCCTGGGGACGCAGGAAGGGGGACAGGAGAACCCCGTCAGGCTGAGCCACCCCCCGGGTCCCGCTGAGGCAGCTCGCTAGTGACGGGGACAGGGACACGGACAGGGGTGCCAGCGCCTGGCGCGAGGTGGCAGAGGGGACAATGGGGCTCTGTGTCGCCTAATCCGGGGCACGGGGCCGGGGGTTGGCACCCCGGAGTGGCGCGGGGGGGTTTAAAGGCCAGACCGGCCGGTGTCCCCTGTGCCAGGCGTCCCCGAGCCCTCGTCCCCTGCGCACTTCTCAGGCCGCGGCTCCCACCCCAAGGTACCAGGCGACACAGCTGTCTCAGCGTGGGGACAGCCGCACCACCTCCCAGCTGGGGATGGAGGGGAACAGGGTGGTCCCGAGGCTGGGCGGGGCGCGGATCTTTAGGGACCCCAGTGACTGGGTTTTGGGGGGTCCTTGTGCCACGCCACCGAGCCGTGTGTCCCCTAACCCTGTCACCGGTTATGGGGATACCCTGGCTGCCAGCGGGCACCGCTCGGCTCCGTGCCTCAGTTTCCCTCTTTGCCCAGCTCTGCCGGGCACCTGCTGGGAGCGAGGGCACCCGGGGGAGTGGGGACACCCCGGTCCCTTGGTCTGCACTCTCAGGGCACCTTGGCACCCCCGGCATGGGGAGGTGCCCCCGGCTGTGCTGAGCTGGCACAGGATTACACTAAGCCGGAGGTGCCGGGGCTGGCACCGAGTGTCCAACCTGAGGCCACCGTGACTGGCACCGAGGGGTCAATCTGGGGCCACCAGACCTATCAGCGAGGGGACAAGCTGGGGCCACAGGGACTGGTACCGAGGGGTCAGTCTGGGGACACAGGGACTAGCGCTGAGGAGACAACATGGGGACACTGGAGCTGGCACCGAGGTGTGTCCCAGAAGTGTGCCAGGCTCTGGTGGGTGCTGTAGGACGGGTCCCCCCAAGGGAACTGGTGTTGGGGTTCCCAGCAGCGGCTGGGAGTGGCCGGGAAGGGGTGGCAGGTCCCCAGGGAGCCGCGCTGACTCTGCCTGTGCTTCTCTTGCAGCCCCTCTGTCACCAGGATGGTGAGTGGCCCCCGGGTGGGGGGTCCGGGCGGAGGTGGGTGCCCCATCCCGGGATCCCGGCGGTGCCGGGCACTGGCGCGGGGCAGCAAGCAGCATGGCGTGCTGTGCCCACCCGCCGCGTGACCCCGCGGGGACAAGGGGACGCTTTGTCCAGGAGCTGGCGGCCCCGGCGGCTGGCACTGCCCCGATGTCCCCGAGGCGGTGGCGCCGTGCCCGGCGCCCACAGCCCCCCAGCACCCTGACGCCCCCTCCCCACGGGTGGACAGCGGCTCCTGGTGCCCCCCTCTCCTGTGCCAGCCCCCCCATGTCTGCCCCACGTCCCTCATGCCCACCCGGGGTCTGTCCACATGCCAGCTCCCTGCCAGACCCGTGATAGCCCCTTGCCATCCCCTTAACCCCACGCCAGCCCCACACCACCCCCTTACCCTCGTGCCAGCCCCGTGTCAGCCCTGTCCCTGCTCCCGCAGCTCTCCACGTCCCAGCCGAGCTCGGAGCCGATGCCCAGCCCGGAGGAGCAGGAGTGGGCAGGGCCCGAGGCTCTGTGCCCGGGCTGGCTGGAGGACGAGGCTCCCGATGGCGAAGTGCCCGGGGACAGCGGGGACCCCGACTGTGCCACCCACGCCTACGAGCGGCTCCAGAGAGCCCTGTGCCAGGAGGGGCTGCCCCCCACGCTGGACTGCTCCGCAGAGCCCCGCACGGGTTGGGAACATGGGGGAGGGGGCATGGTGCCAGGCTGGGACACGGGGGTGGCAGGGACTGGGGTGGTGATGAGGGAATGGTGCCAGGCTGGGGACACGGGGGTGGCAGGGAGAGTGATGTGGGCGCAGTGCCAGGCTGGGGACACGGGGGTGGCAGGGAGAGTGATGCGGGCGCAGAGCCAGGTTGGGATAGGGGCATGGCAAGGATAAGGGTGGCAATGGGGATACGGTTTCAGGCTAGGGACACGGGGGGTTTGGGGGCTCTCAGCCACATTCGGGTGCCAGGGGCAGCGTGGCGCCAGGGTCCCCATCCAGGAGCTCTTAACCCTTCCCTTCCTGGCAGGATTTGGCCCTCTGGACATGACCGTTTGCATCCTGGGCTCCCCCACCCCCTTCCTGCCTGTCCTGCTGGAGGGTGGCACCCGCTGCCCAGGTGGGTGCCATCCCCTTGTCCCCACGCCACATGAGACACCCCTGAGCCAAACAGCAGGGGTCCCCACATCCGCCTGTGCTGCCTGACCAGGACTGTGAGGGAAACTGAGGCAGGGGAGAAGGGTGGCAGCAGCCCCTCGTGTATTAATGCCAATACACACCAGCAAATTCAGCAGCAAATTCTCGCCTTCCCCTCCACGCAGCACCCCCCTCCCAACCATGGGGGACAGTTTGGGGCAGGGGGTGCGGGGTACCCACCGTCCACCCCCCTGCCCACCCGCAGGTGCCATGGTGCTGTGCCTGTCCCCCACCTGGGCAAGCCGGGTGCCATCGGAGACGTCCCCAGGCGCCTGGTCCCTGCTCCTCTCCCGGGGCGTCTCCTTCAAGGTGGGGGGACACAGCGCCCTGGAGACCTACGCGCCCCCCCGCCGCGCCAACTACGTGACGGGCACCTTCGCGCCGGGGGACCCCGAGGGCGGCTGGGTGGGCGAGCTGGCCCGTGACCTCGACTGCCCCACGGGGGGCTCAGTCCCGCTCGCCCACCGGCTCCAGGACACGCTGGTCGCCCGCTGGGTGCTGGCGGCTCGCGCCAACCTGCCTGTGCCCCCCACACTGGCCTTTGTCCTGGGGGCCAGGGGGGACCTGCCCTCCGAGCCCGTGGCCCCCGGGGTGAGGCTGGTGCGGCTGGAGGACCCCCAGGGCCAGCAGAGCCTGGTGCAGGAGGAGGTGGGAGCCTTCCTGGGGGGCACCGCCATGGAGCCCTACAGCCAGGTGGGCACGGGAGGGGCGGGCGGTGTTGGTTGGGTGGCACTGGGGGGCACGGAGAGGCACAGGGGTGCACGCAGGGGTGGCTGTTCGGGTGGAAACCAGGGGGCACTGGGGGACACGGGGGTGCGTGCAGGTGGTGGGGTGGCACAGGGCGACACAGGGCTGCACGCACGTGGCGGGCTGGCTGTTGGGGTGGCACCAGGTGGCACGGGGTGACACGGAGGTGCACGCAGGTGGTGGTGCGGCCGGCGGGGTGGCGGTGGTGGGGGACAGGCACCCGCAGCACCCACAGGAAGGAGGAGGGGGCGGCGGTGGCGCAGGCGGTGGGTGCCCGGCTCCGGGGGCTGACGGAGGAGGACAGCGTCCTGCTGGAGGCCATGGTGCCCACCGCCCGCCTGCCCGTGCCCCCCCCACGTAAGGCCCCCGCCCTCGGGCGCCCACCACCCTGGGAGGGGGGGAAGAATCCCCCGGGGTCCCACGGGTCCCTGCAGCTCTGCCAGCCACGTGTCTGTCCCCTGGGGCGGGTGGGTAGGGGCCATGGGGGTGCCCAAATTACTGGGGTCCTGGGGGAGGGCATGAGGGTCACCCTGGATGCCCACAGTCCCCCGGGTTAGGGTTGGGGGACAGTTTACCACCTTGGACTCCCACAGACCCACGGGGAGAGGTGGGGAAGGTCACCCTGGACCCCCAAGGTCCCCTGTGGTGGGGGGGAAGTCACCCTGGACCCCCACAGTCCCCTGGGAGCAGGGCAGGGTGTTGGAGTGACCCCATCTGGCTCCTGACAGTCCCGTGGGGCTGGGGATGACAGTGGCCATGTTGTACCCCTCACTTGGGCTTGGCCGGGGCCACCACGGTGCCACAGGGAGTCCCAAAAGCCCGCAGAGGAGGGGGAGGTCGGGCAGGGCTGCCCCGTCCCCGCGTGGCGGCCGTGCCTGCCCTGTCCCTTGCCCCCCAGGCAGCCCAGCCCCGCGGCTGCCCATGGCCCTGCGCATCTGCACCCTCGTCTGCAGGTCCTGGGGGGACCGGCCCCAGCTCTGCCAGGTACAGCATGTCCCTACACCCTGGTCGCTCTGTGTGTCTTCAACCTATGATGGCTGTCCATATCCCCCTGTCCTGGAGGCCCTGTATGTCCCCAAGCTGTGGTGGCAGTGGCAGTCTGTGTCCCCAGGCTGTGGTAATCTGTGTGCCATGCTGTGGTAATCTGTATGCCTGCCCATGTCCCCATGCCCTGGTGGCCCTGGGTGTCCCTAAGATTGGTGGCCATCTACATCCCAAGTCCCTATGCCCTGGTGGCAGTGGCGTCCCCAGGCTGTGGTTTGGCAGCCAATGTCCCCATACTGCGGTGGCAGCTGGTGTCCCCACACACACGTGGGTGTCCCCACAGGTGGCCTGCGCCGTGGGACGCGCAGAGAGCCCGGTGCGTCACGGCGCGGCGCTGCCCCAGGGCCTGGACTCCAGCCTGCAGCAGTGGGGGGTGGTCGCCCCCAGCCAGCGGCAGGCGCTGGCCACGCGGCTGAGGGAGGCCACTGAGGCCGCCATGGCCGCCCTCCTGGCCACCGAGGCCGAGCTGAGCCCGCAGCAGCGCGGTGGCACCCGTGCCCACACAGACATCCTGGGTGAGTATGGCGCGGGTGGCCCCGCCGGTGCCCGCGGCCACCCCGCGGTGCTGAGCACGGTGTCACCGTCACCGTCCCCAGGCGTGGATTTCCTGCTGGCGTGCGTGGATGACGCGCTGGAGCTGGTGGCCTTGGCCACCAACAGCCAGCGGTGCCTGGAGACCTGCGTGCTGGCCGAGGCCATGGGGCGTGGCGTGGGCGAGCCCCGCGGGGACCTGCCGCGGCTGCTGGCCGAGGCCATGCTGCACCGGGCACAGTGTCACCTGGTCGAGGGCAAGGACATCCTGCTTATCGGGGCCGGGGGCGTCAGCAAGAGCTTCGTGTGGGAGGCGGCCCGCGACTATGGGCTGAGGGTGAGTGAGAAGTTCGGGCCACCAGCGGGCTCAAGGTGGCACAGCCGCGGTGCCAGGGCCGGCTGTCCCCCGGTGACGCCTCTCTGGGCCCGCAGATCCACCTAGTGGAGTCGGACCCGGAGCATTTCGCGGCGGGGCTGGTGCAGACCTTCCTGCCCTACGACAGCCGGGAGCATCGGCGGGACGAGGAGCACGCGGAGCGGGTGCTGGAGCTGCTGCGCTCCCGGGGGCTGCGGCCCCACGCCTGCCTCTCCTACTGGGACGACTGCGTGGTGCTGGCGGCCCTGGTGTGCCAGGGCCTGGGGCTCCGCGGCCCCGCGCCCGCCGCCGTGCGGGTGGCCAAGCAGAAGAGCCGCACGCACCGGCACCTGCAGGGCTGCCGCCGCGGCCGCCCGCCGCCCGCCGCCTTCGCCGTGCCCTGCCGCCGCCTGCAGAGCCACGGCGACGTGGAGCGGGCGGCGGGCGCCGTGCCCTTCCCCGCCGTGGCCAAGCTGGAGTTCGGCGCGGGCGGCGTGGGCGTGCGGCTGGTGGAGAACGCCGGGCAGTGCCACGCTCACGCCGCCCGGCTCTGGAGGGACCTGCGCGACGACGCCGACCACCCGGGCATCGGGCTGGGCTGGGGCAACGCCATGCTGCTCATGGAGTACGTGCCGGGCACCGAGCACGACGTGGACCTGGTGGTCTTCGAGGGGCGGCTGCTGGGAGCGTGGGTGTCGGACAACGGCCCCACGCGTGTTCCCGCTTTCCTGGAGACGGCGGCCTGCCTGCCCTCCTGCCTGCCCGCCGACCGGCAGGCGCAGCTGGTGCGGGCGGCCCTGGAATGCTGCCGGGCGTGCGGGTTGCGGGACGGCGTCTTCAACGTGGAGCTCAAGCTGGGGCCGGCGGGGCCGCGCCTGCTGGAGATCAACCCCCGCATGGGGGGCTTCTACCTGCGCGACTGGATCCGCGAGGTCTACGGCCCCGACCTACTGCTGGCCGCCGTGCTGGTGGCGCTGGGCGTGCCGCCGGTGCTGCCCGCTCGGCCCGCGCCCCGCACGCACTTGGCCGGGGTGATGTGCCTGGGCTCGGAGCACGGCGAGACCCTGGCGGGCGGCGGGGGCATGGAGGCTCTGCGGGAGCTGCACGGCCGTGGGCTCGTCCGCCTCAACCGGCTCTTCGAGGAGCCAGAGGGGGCCGGCGAGTACGAGGAGCCGCTGCTGAGCGTGGCGTGCGCTGGGGCCACGCTGGCCGAGGCCTGCGAGCGCCTGCTGGGGCTCTGCCAGGGGCTGGGCATCGACTCCCAGCGATATCCCGTGGAGTATTTCTTGTCCCACTTCAAATAGCGCCGGGCAGGCAGCGGGGAGAGCGGGGGAATGGGTGCCCCGGCATATCCCGGCACCCCCTCCCGCCGCCCCGCCGCCCCTCCCCGGCATCCCCCCAGCACACCGTCCCGCTGTCTCCCCCATCCCGTGGCCTGGCACACCGTGTCCTGGCACCCCCGTACCGCCCTGGATCCCAGTCAGCTGCCCTGCCACCCCATTGCCTGGCATTCCCCTTCATCCTGGCAGCCCATACCCTGGCTCCTGACATCCCACCCACTGGGATCCTCCTATTAACCTGGCACTCCATCCCCTAGCATCCCTCGACTCTCCTGGTGCCCCATCCCCTGGCATTCTGAAACCCCGTCTCCTGGCATCCCCCCACTACTCTGACACCCCAGTCCCTGGCATCCCCTATGTCCTGGCACCAGATTCCCCGGTATCCCCTTCCATCCTGGCATTTCATCCTTCTATCACAGTGACACACCTTCACCCTAAGATTCCCCCTCTCCCAGTCCAGACACCCCACCCCCTGGCATCCCTTTGTTACCCCAGCATCCCATCCCCCTGCCCTGGCACACCATTCCCTGCTTTCCCCCTTTCTCCCTTGTCCCTCCCTGCCCCCCCTGCCCTGTCCCTACAGTCTCTACCCGCAGTGTCCCCTGTCCCTGAAGCTGGGGGCCCCATGCCTGGGACACACAGGGGGACACTGACTCCTGCTGTCCTCGTGCCATCCCCAGGGTGAGGGCAGCCAGGACCCCCCGAGGCACCCAGGCCACCCCATGAGAGCAGCAGGTGAAGCCTGAGGTGTGTTGGCACCTGCTGGCATGGGGAGACCCTACAATAACAAACCATTATGGGGATGCCCCATAAAGACAAAGAATTATTCACAATAACACGCCACCAAGTGGAGACCCCACAGTAACAGACTGAGGTGGGGAGACCTCAAAATGATACCTTTGAAAGGAAGACCCTACAATAACAAACTGGCATGGGGAGAACCCACAGTAACAAACCTGTGTGGGGAGACCCTACAATAGCATACCTTGAATGGGAGACCCCACAATAACAAACTGGCATGGGAGGACCCGACAATAACAAAGGAGTACCCAGGAATTCCCTGGAGCAGCTCAGAAAATCCTCTGGGAAGAGATTTGTGTGATATAGGGCTGTCACTAGGGAGGCCCTACAGTAACACCATTGACTCTACACTAATGCCCAGCCCCTGTAATGTCTGGGATCCTATAATAACACCAGGCACCCTGCAATAACACAAAGGCGCTGTACTGCTCCTGACCCTACAATAACAGCAGTGACCCTACAATAACACCGAGATCCTACAGCCATCACGACCTTACAATAACACCAGAGTTCCTACAATAACACAGAGCCCCCGTAGTGCCTGAGAGCCTGCGATAACACACAGCCACTTTAGTGCCTGAAACCCTCCAATAAACCCCAGTCCCTATAGTGGCCCTGACCCTACAATAACACCAGAGACCCTATGATAACACCAGACACCCTTCAATAACACACAGCCCCTGTAGTGCCCCTGGCCTTGCAATAATATCCTGCAATAACACACAACCCCACAATAACAGCAGTGACCCTACAACCACCCCAGTGCCCCGCAGCCTCACTCGTACCCTCCAACCCCGACCGGGATCTCCGCATGGGGTCAGTGGGATGTCCCCCCTCTCTTCCCGCCCCGTCCTGTGACGTCACGGCGCCGCCGCTGACGTCAGCGCGGCGCAGGGGGGCGGGGAGGGGCCGGGGACCCCAGTAAAGGCTGTGAGCGGCCGCTCTGCCTCTGTCCTGTTCCCTGCGCCACCCCCGGGCACCCCCCATGTCCCCGTGTCCCCTGCGCAGGGAACACCCCGGTGACGCGCGCGTGGGAGGGGCGTGGCCGGTGGGAGGGGGCGTGGCGAGGGCGTGGCCATCGTGGCGGGTTCCCCGGGGTCCCGATAAGGCGGTGTCGCGGGGGCGTGGCGGAGGCGTGGCCGCCATCGGGGGCGTGGCCATCGGGGCGGGTCCCCGGGGGTCCCGGCACGGCGCCGTCATGGCGGGGGTGTTCGACATCGACCTGGAGACCGAGGAGGGCAGCGACGGGGACGAGCCCGAGCTGGGCGCCGTGAGCCTGCAGCGGGGCGCGGGGGGGGACACTGGGGCTGCCACCGGCAGCGGCGGCTGGGGCGGGGGGCGCTGCGGGGACGGGGGGCACCGGGAGCGGGACGGGCGGTGGAGGCGGTGAGCGGTACCGGGGCGCGGTGGGGACAGCGGGGCCGGGAGTGTCGGGAGTGTATAGGGAGTGTATCGGCTCGGTGCCGGGAACGGCGGGCAGGGGCTTGGGGGGACAGCGACAGGGGCAGTGACAGGGGTCCCGGTGCCCGTGGCGGGACAGAGGTGTAGCTGGGCTGTCGGCGGGGACGCGGCGCCGGGACACTGGGGGCAGCCGCGGATCCTGGGTGGGCAGCGGGCGGCTCCCGCTGGGCAGGGCCCGGCCTCGGCCCCAAAACATCCGGCTGGGCCGGCTCGGCGCTGCCTCGCCCCGCGCTGCGTGTCCTGCCCGTGTCCTGCCCGTGTCCTGCCCGTGCCCTGCCTGCCGTGGGTCCCCTCCTCGCCATGTGTCCCCTGCCTGCCGTGGGTCCCCTCCTCGTCATGTGTCCCCTACCTGCCGTGGGTCCTCTCTCTGTTGTGTCCCCCCTTCCTGCCGTGTGTCTCCTCCTTGCCATGCGTCCCTGCCCGCTGCTCCCCCCCTGCCCACCTCTGACCGCCAATTCCTTCCCGCAGGAGATGGAGCTGGAGCCCCGGGGGAACGGCTTGGAGTAAGTGAGGGACAGGTTGTGGGGAGGTGTGCAGGCAGGGGACAGGCAGGGGACAGGCAGGGGACAGGCAGGGGGCTGACCCCACTCACTCCCTCTCCCGCCAGGCCGGTGGGACACTATGAAGAGATCGAGATTTCCGAGAGCAGCGTCAACAATGGCCCCGAGCACATCGGCCCCCACTGCTTCGAGCTGCTCCGTGTCCTGGGCAAGGGTGGCTACGGCAAGGTGGGGACACGGCAGGGCTGGGGGACTCTGGGGGGATTCAGTGCTCCCTGACGGCATCCTCAGCCTTCCCTGCCTGTCCTTCCAGGTGTTCCAGGTGCGCAAAGTGCAGGGCACCAACACGGGGAAGATCTTCGCCATGAAGGTCCTGAAGAAGGTAGGGCCGCCCTGGCCCCCCCAGCCCCCCTGGGGACCCCCCCCCGCTCACCGCCTCCCTCCCAGGCCAAGATCGCCTGCAACGCCAAGGACACAGCGCACACCCGGGCGGAGAGGAACATCCTGGAGGCCGTCAAGCACCCCTTCATCGTCGACCTCATCTATGCCTTCCAGACGGGCGGCAAGCTCTACCTCATCCTGGAGTGCCTCAGCGGTGCGGGATGGCTCGGGGGTCCCAGGGATCACACAGGGGGTCCCAGGGATGACTACAAGTTATCCCAGGGTTGGCTCAAGGGGTTCCAGGAGTGGCTCAGAGTGTCCAGGGATGGTTAAAGCATGACCTGGAGTGGCTACAGTGTCCAGGGAGGGTGTCCAGGGATGGCTCAGGAGGTCCAGGGGTGGTTTGAGGGTGTCCCAGAATGGCTCAGATATTCCCAGGGGTGATGAAAGAGTATCCAGGGATGGCTCAGGACGGTCCCTCTTGGGCTCTCTATGCAGGTGGAGAGCTCTTCATGCAGCTGGAGCGGGAAGGGATCTTCCTGGAGGACACTGCCTGGTAGGGATGTGGTGGTGGTGGTGGGTGTGGATGAAGTGGGCACCTTGACATCGCTCACAACGTCCCCCAATCCTGCTGCAGTTTCTACCTGAGCGAAATCACACTGGCTCTGGGTCACCTGCATTCCCATGGGATCATCTACCGGGATCTTAAGCCAGAGAATATCATGCTCAACAGCCAAGGTGGGTTTAGGGGAGAAACTGGGGATCTTGGGGGGTTCTCTGGGGGCAATGCTGACCCCCGCATATCCCTCAGGACACATCAAGCTGACAGACTTCGGGCTGTGCAAGGAGTCCATCCACGATGGAGCCGTCACCCACACCTTCTGCGGCACCATCGAGTACATGTGAGGTGGATGCAGCATTGGGGGGGAGTTTTCGGGGGGGGTCTGTCTTGGGCCCCCACCCGCTCAGGTCCCCCCCTGCTCTCCCCAGGGCCCCCGAGATCCTGGTGCGGAGCGGGCACAACCGAGCGGTGGACTGGTGGAGCCTGGGCGCCCTGATGTACGACATGCTCACCGGATCGGCAAGTCCCACTGCTGCTCCTTCCTCCCTCCCTGGGAATTTGGGGAGCATCCTAGGGTGGCTGGGGGGTTGACCTCGAGTCTTCCTGGCCCGCCTGGCTCTTCATGGCCCCCCGGTGCCCCCCGCAGCCGCCGTTCACCGCCGAGAACCGCAAGAAGACCATCGACAAGATCCTCAAGGGGAAGCTGGTGCTGCCGCCCTACCTGACACCCGACGCTCGGGACCTCCTCAAGAAGGTGCCGCCCCCAAAATGTTCCTCACCTCCCCCTCATTCTTATTTATGTTGGTCCTCCCCCCCATTCCCGTCTTTATCCCTGTTTCTCTTCCAGTTCCTCAAGCGGAACCCCAGCCAGCGGGTTGGGGGGGGCCCCGGTGACGCGGCCGATGTGCAGGTACAGGGGTGGGCAGGAGGTGCCAGGGGACACCCCCCAAATCCTGCCTGACACCCCCAACTCCCACAGAAACAGCCCTTCTTCCGCCACATCAACTGGGAGGACCTGCTGGCACGCAGGCTGGACCCCCCCTTCAAACCCTGCCTGGTATGGGGGGGTTGAGTGGGGAGGCTGGGAATGTTTTGGGGGGCCCCGTGGGAGCAGCTGCCGTGTTCCCTGCAGCAGTCGGAGGAGGACGTGAGCCAGTTCGACACCCGCTTCACCCGCCAGACTCCTGTGGACAGCCCTGACGATGCTGCCATCAGCGAGAGTGCCAACCAGGCCTTCCTGGTAGCGGGGGCACAACTGTGGGGGGGGACCCCTGGCACCCCCAGGCCTCTCCACTGACACCCTTGAACCCGCAGGGCTTCACCTACGTGGCCCCCTCTGTGCTGGAGAGCATCAAGGAGGGGTTCTCCTTCCAGCCCAAGGTGCGCTCCCCCCGCCGCCTCAACAGCAGCCCCCGCACTCCTGTCAGGTACTGGGGTACAGAGGGTGTTTTGGGGTGGGGGCTTTGGGATGGAGGTGTTTTGGGATGGGGTTTCAGGGTGGACAGTGGTGAGGGTGCAATTTGGGGGTTGCATAGAGGGTGGAGGGGCTTAACCTGCCCCATCTTGGGAGTACAGAGAGACTGTAAGGGATTGAGATGAGGGTTTGGGGTGCTTTGGGGTGAGGGAATAAGGGTGGGCCCAAAGGGGGAGAAGAAGGAGTATGGGAGGTTCGTGGAGTATGGGGGGAGCTGGGGCCTCCAGGGGTGAGGAAGGTGCTCTGTGGACACTGGCTGCCCCCCCTTCCTCACCCTCTGTGGGTGCCCCACTCACCCCCTCATGTGTCTCCTCCCCAGCCCTGTGAAGTTCTCCCCCTTCGAGGCGTTCAAGCCAGTGGCCCCAGGCGACCCCATGGAGTTGGGGCCCCCCCAGGCTCCCCCACCCGAGGGCACGGCCCCCTTGCCCATCAAACCCTCGGGGGGGGGCAAGAAACAGAAGGGGGGCCGGGGGCGGGTGCCCAGGTAGGGGTGGGGAGGGTGGGGGGTTTTTTGGGGGGCCTGGTGCTCCCCATGGGGTGGGGGGGACCCCACGGTGCTGCTTGTGCTCCGGGGGGCTCATCCCCCTCCGGCACAGCCCCCTGCCCGCTGGGTTTGGGGGCACAGGGAGAACCCCCAGGGGCGTGGCCCCCCAGGGATGTGCCCCCGTGGGCGTGGCCTTTTGGGGTGTGGCCCCTCTGGGGGCACGGCCTTTGGGGTGTGTCCCCCTGGGCACGGCCCTGCTGCTGGATGTGTGCCAATTAAAGGACTTGCTGAGACTGTGGTGGTGCCTGTGCTGGGGCTGGGAGGGCCCATGGAGTGGGTGGGCGAGTTGCCCCAGTAGGGAAGGGTCCAGGCTTCACCCCCTGAGTGATGCCCCGCCCCTTGACCACGCTCCTCCCACTTGCCACACCCTTTCTGTTGGCTCCGCCTACTTCTCTGAAAGTCACGCCTCCTGATCCAGGCAAAGCTGCTCTTTTATTGGTCAGTGCTCAGGCCCCTGCAGCCAATCAGGAGTGTCAACTGAGGCAAGGCAGTCCCTTTGGTGGCAGGGCAGTGCCACTACAGGGAGGTGACATTACAGGGAGGTGACACTACAGGGATGTGCCACTACAGGGAGATAACATTACAGGGAGGTGCCACTACAGGGAGATAACATTACAGGGAGGTGCCACTACAGGGAGGTATCACTGCAGGGAGGTGACATTATAGGGTGATGACGTCAGGACGATGATGTCACAAGGCGGTGACGTGTGGCCGCGTGTCCCCCCAGGCCGCTGTCCCCGAGAAGGCGTGCAGGTCACTGAGCAGGGCCTCGGCGCTGCCCCCCGCCACATCCCCCTCACTCAGGGGCCTCTCCCCGCCCTCTGCCGCTGCTTCGGCCTCTTCCTCATCCTCCTCTTGCTCATCCTCCTCCTGCTCATCCTCATCCTTCTCTGGCCGCCGCTCCAAGCACCAGGGCATCAGCTCTTCCTCCTCGTCCCGCACGGCCACCACCTCTCTGTCACCGTCCCCGAGGGCCACGGCAGGGTCCTCCGGTGAGCGCAGCCGGTGCCACTGTCCCCGCAGCAGCTCCAGCGCCCGGCGGCCCAAGGGCCGGGGGTGGTAGCGCCCGGCCGAGAGGCGGCACAGGTGGTGCCAGGCCAGCGCCAGCCCCAGCGCCAGGAACAGCAGGAGCCCCACCAGCGCGGCCACCGTCCGGTCATTGCGAGCCACCGCGGGGTCCCCGGCCGCCGCCGGCCCCGCCAGCGCCAGCAGCACCGGCTGCCACCGCGGGCCAGCCTGCGGGAGAGGGCAGCAGGGTCAGCTCCGCGCCCTGGGCACGTGGCTTCCCGGAGCTGGAATGCAGGGAAGGGCGGCGGGGACAAGGGGCAAGGTACAGGAGCAGAGGACAAGGCCAGGGAGGGGGAGGTGGCCCCCCGGGGACGGAAGGCGTGGGTGACGGGTGCAGCAGCACCTGCAGGTGCTGGCGAGAGAAACCGGGTTCTGCTACCCCACATAGCTGCACAGCCCCCCTGCCCGCAGGGCTGGAGCCCCATAGCACCCCCTGCCAACGCCCCAGGGACCCCCAAACCGGGCAGGTTTCAATGTGCCCCCCTGAGCCCCCCCCCTCCTTCTCCCCCAACCCCACTGTGCTCCTCTTATCTCCCAGCCTTTCCCCCAAACATTCCATACTCCCCTTACCCTCCCGCTCTCCCCAACCTCACGCCGGTTCCCTGATCCTGACTCCCCCAACCTGTCCCCTAGCCTCCTGGCTCCCAATTTCCCACCTTGCCCGGTTTTGGGGTGCTCACCATGATCGGGTGCAGCCAGAGCGGGTCCCGATGCCGCGGGCGCGCTCTGAGATGGGGGAGCCCCCCCCAACTTCCTGCCCTCGCACAGCGGATGTGCCAGAGCGGGGGGAGGCCGAGTGCTGCACCCCCCCCTCACCCCTGCTACCCAAAATGCCGCCGTGTGCCCCCCCACTTCCTGCCAAGGCGCTGAGCTCCCACCCGTGACCGCCACACTTTCCTGCCTCCACTTCGTCACCCCCCAGGTGGCCCCTGCAACCATCGTTTTTCTTATAAATCCTTTATTTGGAGTGAAAATATAGTTTTTGAACCTGCACTGGAATGAAGAGGAGGGACACAAGGAGAGGGAGGGGAGGAAAAGCTCCCAAAATATACGGGGGACAGTATCTCACAGTTGAGGAAGGCAGATCATGCCCTGCCCCACAGAAAGGGGGGAGACCCCACACAGGAATTGGGCGTGTAGGGGGTATTCTTTGATCCCAGGAGCAACCCCCAGCCCGAGGAATGGGGGCAGAGGTGGAGAATGGTCCATGATTTGGGGGGGCAGCACCCAGTAAGGCAATGAGGGGAAGCGGGGAGCTGCCAGAGGGGTGGCCAGCCCCCTAATGGGAGAAGGGCCCGAAGCAGGGCAAGGGGGGGCACCCCAGGAGGGCGAGATGGTTCAGGGGGGTCCCTGGGGTGCAGGCGTGGTCCCTGGGGCGGTGGTCCCTGAGGGGGTCCCTACACGTGGCCGTTCTCCAGGCGGCTGAGCTGCTCCTCCAGGCGGGAGATGCGCTGGCCCTGCTCCGCCACCAGCGCTCGCAGCGCCGCCACCTCCTGCAGCACCTCGTCCAGGCGGCCCCCCTGGGGGACAGCGACCATCACACAGAGCCCCACCCACTGCCCCACCCGCTGCCACACCAACACCGACCACACCCCTCTGTCCCTTTCCCCCTTGTCCCCTTACCGTGGTGGTGCCGGAGCCGAGCACCGGGGGGGCACTGAAGCGAGTGGACGCAGGGACTGCGGGCGGCGTGGAGGGTGGCGTGGTGGCCCCGGTGGCGGCGGTGGCGGTGGCACGGCTGTCGTGTAGCAGCGTCCGCCGGCTCACCTTGAGGTCCCGCTGCTTGCTGGGGACGTAGGCCTGGCGCAGAGACACCAGCACGGGCCCCGCCGTGCGCCCCGCCACCCACTCCTCTGCCTCCATGGCCGCCTCAGGGCCAGCCGTGTCCGGGTACAGGTCGTCCTGGAACAGGTCAGACTGCCCCCAACAGTGTCAGAGGGGTGGTGTCCTCAGGGGACCCCCAGAGTGACACAGCCTCACTGGGCACCCCCGCCTTGCTGTCATGTCCTGCTCAGAGACCTCACACACACACTCCATAGGGACAGACCCCACCCAGCCTGATTAGGAACCCCTTGCCCAATCACCATGTCCTACCCAGGAACCCCACAGAGCCCTGTGTCCTGCCTGGTGACCCCTCTCAGTCCCCTTGGGGACTCCCACCAGCACTACTGGGTCCCCCTACCCCACATTCCCCTATGCTCACCCTGCTTCCATCCCCACCCACCTTCCTTGGCACGGTCATGATGATGGGCTCACACTTGCGCTCGTGCAGCTTGTAGAACCTGCCAGGGGAGCAGAGGGAGTCATGGAAGGTTTTGGAGGGGTCTGAGGGTCCCTCACCTCGTTCTCCTTGTCCTTATGCCCACCTGGCGATCTCACACTTGCTGACATCCAGCCCACGCTTGGGCATCCAGCCCATTCCCCGCTGAGGCTCCTTACTGGTGAAGGTGTTGAGGAAGTGGATGTAGGGCGGCTCCTCCGTGATCTCGAAGTACCGGATGCTCGAGTCCCCCTGGGAACACGCCATTAGCGGGGTCCCCAGCTCCAGGGGGACACCAGCGGGGTGGGGGACTCCGTACCTTGCCGCAGACGTAGACCACATTGGTGTCAGGGTCGTAGAAGGGCAGCAGAGCCCCGTTGCTGGAGTCCAGCTCCTGCAGCCCCATGGGCTCCTCCAGGTTCTCCTGGGGTGGGATGAGGTGTCAGGCACACGGGGGTCCCCAAAATGGTCCTGGGAGATTCCTGGGGTGCCACTCACCGTGTCCCACAGCGCCAGCTGCCTCTCACTCATGCGGCTGAAGCCGGTGGTGAAGATCTTGCCGTCAGCCAGGAAGATGGCGCGCATGGGACGGGCCCCCTCGTGCGCCCGCTCCTTCTCCTGGGGGGCACTGCTGTCACCGGTGCCCGCAGCACCCCAGGGACAGGCACCGAGGGACAGGGGACAGCGGGGACAACCAGGGGACAAGGACACCCACGGAACAACGGGGTGCACCAAGGGACAAGAGCAAGGAGCAGGGGATTCCCCCCAAGAACCAGTGCAGGGCAGTGCCCTGGTGACACAGGCCCCCCCTGGGGGTGGGGACACTCACGGCCACCACGGTGCCGCGGCGGGGGTCGATGACACGGACGCTCTTGTCCTTGCAGGCGGTGCAGAAGCGGGAGCCATCGCGGCTCCAGCTGACGCTGTAGATGAGGTCGGGGTGCAGCCCGTCCAGCCGGTACAGCTCCTCCGCCGTGCCCACGTTCCAGATCAGCACCACGTTGTCACAGCCTGGGGGACATGGCAGGGGTCACCTCGGCCACGCAGCCCCCTCCCCGTGCCCACAGTGTCCCCCCGTACCCGCGCTGAGCAGCACGTTGCGGGCGGTGGGGTGCCAGGTGACGATGCCAACACGCTTTGAGTGGCCCTCCAGGACCACGACCGGCTCCGTCAGCGGCTGGCTCAGCCCGTTCTCCGGGATCTGCCACACCTGAGGGGACAGAGGGGACAGTGAGCGAAGCAGGGTGACCCCTGCCACCCCCCAGGATGCTGGGCCACCCCTCACCATGACGGTGCAATCCTCGGAGCCGCTGGCAATGACGTGATCATTGTGGGGACACCAATCAATGTCCAGGACGGGGCCCGTGTGGCCGCACACCGTGGGGTACGACTTGTCGATACGTCCGGTCTGGGGACAAAGTGACAGCAGGGATCACCACCAGGGTCACCCACTAGCACAAACCCCCTTCCCCATGCCACCACCCCGCTGTCACCTTGTGCAGGGGGAGCACGAGGAAGGCACCACCGCCGCTGGCCTCCACGATGATGGCAACGAAGGAGGGGTTGACGGCGCAGAAGGTGCTGTCCCAGGTGACGCGGGACACGCGGATGTCATCGTAGCACTGATCCGTCTTCACCGGCTGCCCGAACACGTGCCGGAATTTGCTCTGCCGCACCACCTTCCGGAACGACATGGCTGGGGAGCGCCCCGGCCCACGGTCAGGCATACTGGGACACCCCAAAATGGGAGGAAGGGCCACCAGGAAGGTGGCCTGGGAATGGGGTGTCCCCTGAACCGGGTTTCCACCCCGATAAAGGATCGCTCAGCCACTCTGAGGTGCCAGGAATTGGGGTACACACCACTGTCCCTGCCAGTTCCCTGAAGGGAACTCAGGAAGCACCCCAGGAATGGGGGCTCTGAGTGAGACAGAGAGTGTCCCATTCAGGATGAGGACAGGGACAAGGGTGTCCACTTGGAAACACGGGTGGGGATGGAAAGGAGGGTAGGGACAACTGCAACAGATCAGGGGACAGGGGTGACCCTGCTGCCTATGGGGTCAGGGACGGGGAAAGGGATAGGCGGGCAGGAATGGGGACAGTAGTGCCCTCATTCTGTACGGGGATAGTGACGAGGACAGGGACAAGGATGGGAAGAGGAACAAGGATGGGGACGGGGGCGGGGTCAGGAATGGGGCCGGTGGTGGCCGCGCTTGGTACAGGAACAGGAATGGGGACAGGGATGAGGATGGGGACATGGACGGGAAAGGGGATGGGGTGGCCCCGCGACGTATGGGGACAGGGATAGGGATGGGGACAGGGACAGGGACAGGGGGTGGCCCCGCAGGGATCGGGGACGGGGAAGGCGGATGGGTGGCCCGCGGGGGCCGTGCCCGGCGGGTTCGGGACGGGGCTCAGTGCCCGGTGCCGGTGCCCGCACTCACCGGCGGGTCGGTGCCCGGGGCCGGTGCCGGTGTCGGGGGCGGCGGGAGCGGCGGCGGCGGCGGGGGCGGGGCAGGAAGTGACCGGGGCCGCCCCGCGCGTGCGCGGCTCCGGGGCGGGGAGACCGGCGGGGGGAGAACGGGGGCACCTCGGTCATGGCATCTATGGACACCCCACCATGGGACCCCATGGACAGGGCACCCCAGGGTGCGGTTCCCGCGGACAGCATCAGTGGGTGGCACAGAGGTGACAGTGGCAGCGAATGACATGGGGATGCTGCTGGCAGGCTGTCACCCCCACCAGTGTCACCCCAGGGTGACTTCCCACGCCGGGCTTTTCCCTGCTCTGATTTTGGGGTATCCTTCCCCTGTGAAGCCCCTGTGGCCCCCTGTACCCACTCAGTCATGTCTTGGGGACACCGCAGCAGTCCGCATCCTGGGGGGACAATAAATGGACCTACCTTAGAGGTGGGGGAGCTCAGAGAGAAGTGCCAGGTCAGGGGAAACAGTGGTGGCCTTGCGGTGTCACCACGGGGGATGTGGGTTGGTCTGGGGACACTGCGGTGGCTTTGGGGTGTCACCACTGCGAACACGGAGCAGTGCTGGGGACACTGGTGGCTGTGGGGTGTCACCACTGGGCGGGCCAGGGCCTCGGTGGGGACCCGTCCGGTGGCCGTGGCTGTTTCCTGCCATTAATCACCTCTAATTGGCTTTGCCCTGCCGGGCCCACGGCGGGGGGAGTCTGGGGGGGTCACGGGGGGTGTAAGAGGATTTCCCTGCTCCTTCCTCCGGCTCGGCCGTCCCGGGGTCCCGCTCCCTGCCTGCCCACTGCCCACCCGGCCCCGGCCCCATGCCACGCTCCCACGGGGACAAGGGGACCCCCAAGGACAAGGAGCCCCCGCAGAAGGGGAAAGGGGGGCACGAGGAAGGGGAGAAACCCCCCAAAGCCCCCGAGGACGTCGGTGCCCCGGCCTCCAAGAATTCT